CTCGGCATGCAGCAGCTCCGCCTCCGCAACGCTTTTGCCTTTCTTCTCGCTATCCTCGTTCTCAAAGGTCTGGCTGGTAGAAGGCGAGCTTCCCCTCTTGGTAGGTTTAGCCTTGTTCTTCGCGGAGGGGGTCTCGTTCTCGTTGTCGTTTGCGCTCCTTGTACTCTGCTTGCGCTTGCGGGGCTTGACGTCCGTGGACTCGAGCTCCACCTTAGCATCCGCCTTGTCGCCCTTCCTGACGTTGCCCTCGTCGCTCTGCTCAACCTTGCCCTCCACAGCCTTCACCTTGCTCAAGTTCTTACCCGGCTTAGTGCCTGCTGCGCCAGAAGCCTTCACCTCGTTCTTCTCCGGCACGCAGCTCTTCCCCTCAGCGGAGTCCGTCTCCACCTCAGCGTCCGCCTTGCTCGCGATGTTAGCAGAAGCCTTTGCCTCTTTCTTTCCCGGCTTCGCGCCGGCCGCAGCAGAAGCGTTCATCTTCTCCGGCTTGGGGGTCTTGCCATCAGTCGACTCCGCCTCCACCTCAGCGTCCGCCTTGCCCGCAAGAGCGTTGTGCTTCTTGACGTGGCCCTCGTTGTTCTGCCCGACCTTGCCCTCCGCAGCCTTGCCAGAAGCCTTCACCTCGTTGTTCTGCGGCTTGCTGGTCTTGGCGCCAGAGGATTGCGGCTCCACCTCAGCATCCGCCTTGTCGCCCTTCTCGTCGTTCGCGACATTGCGACCGCGGCCTCGACCACGGCCACGGCCGCGGCCTTTGCCGGCTTTCTTCGGGGCTTGCAACTTTGGGTCCTCATCGACGATGTCGGGATTGTGCTCTCCGTCTTCGTCTTCACTTCCATCTTCTGCTTCCCCAGCCGTTGCCGTGCCAAGCTGCTCGCGACGAGTGACAAGTGGCACCTGTGTCTGAGCTACCAAGCTAAACCCTTTCAACGAACTTCTTGGCAAACGCTGTTTGTCAAAGTACGCCCAAGATTTTGTTCAACGGGATGCAAAATTGTAGGCCAGCTAGGAAGCACACCTCCAACACCCCTTGTGTGGAACACCCCTTCACGAGACCCCAGCCTCCAAGGCCAGCAAGTTAACCTTGTTCCCAGAAGACACCGTTGAAGGAGTGGTGCTCGTGGTCATCTTGGCGGATGACGAGTCGGCGGGGTGCCCAATGAGCTCTTGGGACCCGCTCGCCACATCCTCGGGCGTTGGTTCCTGCGAGTTTGACTTCAGCTGGCTCTTGGACTTGGACTCGGGGGTCTTTTGGGTCATCTCATGCAGCGCGCCCAAGGACAAGGTAGTAGAAGAAGCAATGGAAACAGGCGACTGCGGCATACTCTGAGCACGGGCCAAAGCGCTGTCCAAGGCCATCTCGTTCATAGGCAAAGTTTCCATGTTGTCCGTGACCCCGCCTTGCCAATTGGCTTGCAGGTCCGTATTTGAACTTTCCCGCAAACGCAGAGAATCCGTTTAACCTCAAACAGTTGCTTTACCAGCCCAGTAGCGCCCCAAATCGCTGGCGACGCTCTGGAGGCGCCGCAATCGGTTCTGGTCCAGCTGTTGCCTAGAAGAAGTCGGCGCCCCAAAATCAGGGCCACTCACTAATCCGCGAACATGTTTGGCTGAAGGGTGTAAGGAAGGGGGCAACAACGAAAAATGCAGAGGCAGCGGCAGTAACAGCTGTAGTTGTACAGCGGTTGTTTCGATTGATGTTGCTGGTGGTGGGTGTCGTTGCCTTTTAAATTTGTGTCTTTGCTTTTGTTACGTTGTTGCTGCGGTTGTTGCTACAGTTGTGCGGTTGTGGGTGTCGCTGGTTGGTTGTTGCGCTTGTTGCGGTTGTTGTGCTTGTTGTGGTTGTGGTTGTTGTGGTCGTGGTGTTCGTTGTCGATGTCGATGTCGTTGTCGTCGTTGTCGTCGTCGCCGCTGCTGCTGCTGCTGTTGTGGTCGTGGTGGCGGTGCTGGTGCTGGTGCTGGTGCCGGCGCTGGCGCTTGTGCTTGTGGCGGTGGCGGTGGTGGCGGTTGTGGTGGTGGCGGTTGCGGTGGTGGTGGTGGTGGTGGCGATATTGCAGATGCTGTTGATGTTGCTGTTGCTGCAAATGGTACTGCTGCCGTTGATGTTGTTGTCGCTGTTGCTGTTGCTGTTGGTGCTGCTGTTGCTTGCTTGTTGTTGGTAATGATGGCGCTGATGATGCGGCGGCGTTGTTGCAGTCGTTGCTATGCTTGCCGTTGCGCGTGTTTTGCTGTTGGATGTTTGATTGCTTTTGCTGTAGTTCTTGTCCTTGTTGCGCTGCAGCTAGTTTAGACGTTGCTGCTCGCTATTGCCCAGATTTTGGACAAGGGGAGCCCCCGCCTGACCAAGGCCATCCTTGCAAGCAGCTCCTCTCGGCGATTCGCCTCACTGGCGCTGTCCATTGGCCCAGGCTCTTGGTTGAGGTCAGTGTGCTCTACTGCAGCTGGCTTGAGAGGAGAGTCGGGCGCACCCTTTGTGTTGGAATCAGCAAGGGCCCCCATGAGTTGATGTTGAAAGGTGTCATCATCAAGGTCGTCCCCTTCCAAGCTTCCAGATTCATGAGCCCCAAGGGATTCACCATCAGCTGGATGCTCGCAATCCACGGCCCCGCTGTAACCATCATCAGCCACATTGTCAATTTGGCCATCTTCTAAGGCCAACATAACGTCGCTGTCAGCCGAATCACCCCCCATTTCGGGTTCTTCCCACGCATCAGTCAATGCCTGCCAAAACTCTGCCAGCTGGGGGTCCTAAGATTGATAGTGGGCATCAGAACGGGGCAGCGCTAGAGGGAACTTGTTTGTGTCAAGGAAGTTGAAGGTAAACTCAAAAAAAACAAGAACCGTGCCAAGCATCTCTGGGACGTTGGGCGCCACTTAGCCATCGTCGGAGGCCGTGACTAAATAAGCGTTTTAACCCCCATGAGTCCACCCCGATGAAGCCAACCGGTTGGCCCATGAGCCGCCTGAATGCCGTGACCTAGTGTGGGGAGGTGGGCGATGTCAAAGACTGGGTTGCTTTAGCGAACTTGTCACACAACCCCCAACTCTTTTTGAAATCGAAAGGCTAAACGAGACAAAGGACTTGGGCACGCATTGTGCCAATTGGAATGCACTTTGGGGTGGGCTGTCGGGAAACCCACCATCGCGTGACCACCATCAGTGCACGCAAGTTTAATGTCATTGCACGCATCGATGGCAATGACGTTGTCTCAACCGAAGGCCACTCCGTGATTTGTCCCGCATTTCGGGCGCGGCGTCTTATGCTCGCGTCGGCTTCCAACATGGCAGAAAGCTCCATTTTATTGGTCTAGTCTCGAACTTGAAACAGCGGTAATGTGCTTTGATCCAAAAACCGCCCCGCCCTTCCCAACAAGAGGTCCTGCAGAAGGTCAGGATGCACCAAAACCCCGCAAAAACATCGGGCAGCAAGAAGCCTGCCCGCAGGATTCGGGAGATAGGTCTTGAGAAGTGAAATATCGATAGAGTAGAAGGAAACTATCTCATCGGGCCTCCAAAGCCTTCTCAGAAGGCCAAGAAGGCAACCAGGCATCACATGGCATCACCATTGTACCTGCCGAGGCCGAGAAGACAAGTCTGCGAGGAGGAAAAAGGAAAAAGGGGCGCACAATATCAGGCTTGGCCAGATGCGGCCGGGCAGGTAAGCCCAAACGGCTCGGCAAACGAAAATCCCTTGAAAAGCTTCAGATAGCACCGGCCCCCAAAAAGCGCTCGAGAGCAGAAAAGATCGCCGCCAAGATCACAAACCATGTTTTCCCCCAAACAGCAAAAATTTAACATAGTTGGGAATATGCAGGTATAGATCATTTATTGGCGGTGTATAAGCAGCCATACCCAAAAGCAATACCTGGAAAATGCGTCGGCCTTAGCAAGAAGGTTATAACTATGGTTGGCATGGTTACGACCTGCTTACTAAGGTGTGAACATTTAAGTACTGGATCCATTAACGTGTCCTCAAACATACCCTCAAAACGGGCGGTTTAAACATAAACAACTCCAAAAAATCCAAAAGTAGCTTTGAGAGCTAGTAATTTGGAAAAGAGTGCCCCCCCCCTCCCCGCGCAAAGATCACTTAATATTGCCCTTCTACCCACAAGACGGAGATGTGTGGGGAAGGGCCGCCTTTGTGGCTTGGCGCACTTCACCCTTTGCGTGGGGAGAGTCCAAGCGGCGTTTTCCTGCCAGCTCTGGACGAGGTCGGGCACAGGAGGGCCAGCTTGTGAGCCGACCGGGTGGCGAGCAAACTCAGCTCAGCGCAAGTTGCAAATTTGTGCACCCTTTTTTGCGGGGCTGAATGATTGGAGTGGGGGTGCGGCTGCTAGTGCACTAAATGTCCTCCTGGCCATGCGGCAAATCATGTCTGTAATTATTTAGCCCTGCATTCTGATTCACAGACTACAAAACGGAATGCTCTCAAAGGGATCTTGGGCAAGCTCGGTTGCCCCCCCAAATGAGCTCGTTCCAATTTGTTGCACACGGCCGCGCCAAACCATCCTGGAGTCCGTGAGGCAAAAGCAACTATGGGTTGCCTCTGCGGGGATCTTTCCCACCGTAATCTGAGGTCAACATCTAGGGAAAACCCTTGATTTACATATGCCTGCTTATAGGAGATCCAGATCACTATTGGGCAACACGCCCCCTAGATCCGTGGTTTTTCTCCTTTTTTGCCCTCCTCAGGGTCAACACTACACGTGGAAATCCTACATGTAGGTATGTGTGCCAGCTCGTGACTGAGCGACCGCGCCTGCGCCATTCAAGCGGCTCTGAGCCCCTGCCACGGTCACAAGCGCGTGCGGCCCCCTGTCTCGGACCGATTGAAAGGGATGCTTTTCAAAATGGGGTTCGCAACCCCACTGAACATGGACCTCACGAAACTTTTGGGGACCGCCTGTAGGGGCTGCATGCAATTGCTGAGAGGGCACGCCCAACGAGGAGCGCGCACATGGGTGAGCCGATTCGTGCTGAGGACTTTCCCCCGAAGATTTTTCTCACTCGGCCGTCTGCGCTTGTCTCTGCTCCATCCGCGCGGCCAGGATGGCCATCTCGGCACTTTCCTGCACCTGACGTCTTGAGCGTTCCCAATCAGCCTACGTATGAGACAAAAACTCGATCCTGACAACTTATCAAGACAAGTTCTACTTGCCTCACATAAACATTCCGGGCAAAGGAGGGGCAGCTCGCGTCTTGTTGGATTTTTAGGGCACTACTGGTTTGCAGGTTGTAGCCACATTAGCCAAAGTTACTTGCAAACTTTCGCAAGTACACGCCGCCATGTTTGGGCTACCGCAGTATGGCATGAAGGGCCGACATGGTAAAGCACATGTTGGCACCCAGCTTCCAAGCAAATTGGAGCGGCCAATCAACGAGCATAGAGACATTTGACACAACGCCTTGTGCGTTGTCTGAGCCCCTGGCAGCTGCAGCAGCCCGCCGTAGAATCCGAAACCGGCCCAGGGCGAAAATCGCCTTTGCCGGCAGGCGCCGAGGAAAGAAAGCGGAAACTTCGATCGTTCTCTTCACGGGTCCTTCTCTTCGGAAAAATTGCCAAGAACTTGTGGGGAATTGCGGCTTCTGAGCAGGTTCAAGAATCTGGGAACCAACCCTCAAAAAGAGTTGAGCTGAAGCCTGCCCGCAGCGCAAACAACAGCAACTTCTCGAACAACGCAGCTTGACTCTGCTTCCAGTGTGCATTGCAGGAGATATTGAGCAGTCCGGTTGGTGAGGACAGCGCGCAGCGCACCGTTTGGGAATTTCGGTCGGTCTTGGCAATCCTCGAAACAGATTGGACCATGACACTCTGTGTGAAAACACCCACCCTCAACTGAGAGGAATGCGGGGGCCCGCCCCTCAGATTTTTGTTTTGACACGAGTACGGAAAGGGAGGATCGTGTTGCATGTTCGGAATGTTGCAAACAGGGTCAATATAACCCTGGGTGTGGTTCACATCGGTTTCAATATATATGGGCAGCACTCTGCAGAAGTTTTTGCTTCGTAAGTTGTCCTTGAGTGGTGGGACGTCCGCATAGGGCCACCTGGCAACTCTTCCAAGCAAGCAAGCAAGCAAGCAAGCAAGCAAGCAAGCAAGCAAGCAAGCAAGCAAGCAAGCAAGCAGGCAAGCAGGCAAGCAGGCAAGCAGGCAGGCAGGCAAGCAAGCAGGCAAAGAAGCACGCAAGCAAGCAAGCCAGCCAGCCAGCCAGCCAGCCAGCAAGCGCACAAGCACACTGGGCCTAGGACAAACCCTTGTTTTGTTCAGTTCTCCGACTTGGGTCATGATAAAATGCAGCCCAGGCGCGGCGTCCCTGGCTGGCCCCGAAAAGGGTAAGAGCAGCGCAGCGGCCTTTGGACGACGGGCCTGGATTGCCAAAGCGAGCAGCTGAGTGGAGTCTACGAGTTGCATGGCCCCTAGCGTCCCTTTTGCCCAATGATGGACAAATGATTGATTGCACTATCTGCAGATCTGTCCCCTTTGGTTCAAAGCAAGGGTTGGGGTGTTTTATTCGTCGCCTGCCTTGGCCCTGCGCTTTGCCTCGCGTCCCGCAAAGCGGCCCAGGGTGCCCCTGAGGTTCAACAACACCTGAGAGGCAACCGGGCTCGACTTTTCGACACAGCGAGACTGTCCCTTCCCCCTTCATATAATGTGTGTTGGTCCTCTGGCCACAGGCTTTTCGACTTACTGGCGGTCTGGCTGACTGGCTAAGCCCCGGACAGCGCAGCCAGCTGGAAATTCCTGGCAAGTGTTGCCATGTCTGGTCCTTCCTCGACAAGGTTGGCTGAGCAAAGTGCCAAATTTTGCGCTGAGCGCTCAGCCCTGGCCTGCATTCTGCTCAGCATCTGGCGAAGCGGCTTCAGCGCCCACTTGCACACTTTGGCCTTGTGCCGGCAGCTGGCCTCATCAGCCTCAAGCCAGGCTCGAAGTGCTGCATCGGCTTTGGGTTTGCTGATTCTTCATACCTTGAAACGGGAGGGGGGCGGAGAGGAGGTCCCCCATTTCCGTTGGTCTTTCCCGCAAAGGGACTCAGCTGCTATGCCGGGGATAGAGTGGCAACCATAGGTGCCACCTCGCCCCTGAAACCCGAGAAAAAAGGAAAAACCAAGGGGAAACCAAACAAGCAGAACCCAAACAAAACAACACACCCGGATTTCTGCCAGGGCAGACCGCACATCTTGCTCGCCAAGTGCAATTTACTTGTAGCAAAACCCAAAAAAAGACAAAAGATCCCAAGTGAACCAGCTGTCAGCACAGACTGGGTACATCTGAAGTATATGCGCAATCGAGGCAATCAAGAAACATGCACGAATTAACACACGGCACACTCAAGCAGTGACTCAGGGAGAATCGCCGGAGCAAGTACCGGTTGGGCAAGGCACCCAACTCGAAGTGTTACACGATGGGAATGAAAAGAAAGCTTCCACTGAAGGTGTTGCAAGAAGTGCACGTAATCCCAAAACAACCCACAAGAGTGGGATAATACATCAAGCTGTCACTGAGGAGGTTCACAAAGTCAAACAGTACAAGGCATGAAGGGCACGGAAGTGCAATGTGCGATGTATATATATATATATATATAAAAAAAAGAAGAGTGCCACCATCAGGAGGGCATACACGAGAAATCGCAGAATGGAATAAATGCACACACAATCCGAAAGCCACCATATCAAATGGAGGTGGCACCTCAAGGAATTTCCCGCAAAGGGAACATGGTGGCAGGTTCAGCCTGGATCTCCAAAAGGCTCGATTCGGCACCCTGGGCAAACGGCAAACGTGCAAAATGAGGCTTGCCTGGAAAATCCTGGAAAGGTTGACGTGTGTTTGACAAGCCCCGGTCGGCCGCATCAGCAGCATCACCAGCCTCACTTGGACCTAGGGCTGCCTATTGGTTCCGATTTGGTGGCAGTCGGGGATTTGCTTATTTACGGTTGGGTTTAGGCTAGCTCGGAACTTGATTAGGGCGAATGTTGGTTGCTTGGGGGTTCTCGGCAAAGGGCTGGTACTCAGGCCGTTCTTGGTTTGGCTTAATTTTGGCTTGGATATCGGTGCTTTGCGTAGCCTCACTGACCAAGAAACCCAAGATTCGCCTTCATTAAGCTCGGAGCCAGCCTAAACCCACCAACACTAGAGCCAATAGGCATTGCTATGTCCAAGTGCGGCTGGTTATTTTCAACCGACCGACCGACCGACCGACTGACCGACCAACCGGGGCTAAGCCCCAACGGAGGATAGTAAAACAAAAAACGTTGACAAGAAAAAACCGATATCCCAAGTGGATGAGTGACGGCCGACTTCCAGTTGGTCACGCGAACCACCGAAGCGGGGTGAGCAGCTTAGAACGCCGCAAAATTTGCCAACCTCGCTGCGCGCAGTTGTGCCTGGTACTGGCGGCCTTTGGCTTCCGCGCAAAGCATCAGGAGCTCCTCCGGGGCCTCTTGGGTGTCCATGGTGAGGGCCTCGGATGCCAGCGTGGGCCATGGGGGGTGCCACGGCAAAAAGCAATCCCCAAAAAGGAACCTCCTCAATAACATGTCGGAGGTTAGGCTCAAAGGACTCATCTGCCCAAAAGACCTAGACGGCGATTGACCTTCTTAAACATGGACCAAAAAGGAAAGCGAGAAGGCTGAAAGTACACTTCATTTTGCGTTTTGTTTAGAATAATATCAAGAGGTGTCTCCTGGGCTGGCTTTTGTTTGTCCTCCGGCTGCTGGTGGGGATAGGTTGGCTCGGGTGTTGGTGTGGTTGCTGACACGCGAGTCGGACCATAGTGGACCTCTGTTGGTGGCACCTAACATGGAACACGATGGCGTTTCCTTTGCTGGGGTCCTTTTTCTGAAACCAGGGCCGACGCAGCTTGGCATGGATTCTCAACAAGAACCACATAGCAGCAAGAAAGCCCTCAGGATTTGCCTGGTTTTGGGTAGGCTATTGGAAAAAAGTGCTCCACCATCCTCCCCCTAAACCGGCAAGACATCGGGCACCCCCTGCCAGTCTTTCCCATGTATCCCGCATCCGAGAAAATGTGTGACATTTAGGGTTCCTTCTTGGCTGCTTCTTGAGCTGGTTGCAAGCTTGGTTCTCCTTACACCTTGGAAATGACATGAGCCTTTTTGAAAAAAATCGATCCTGAATGGCAACTTGAATCCGCCAGCCAGATCTCCCATACCCATGCCCACCTCTGCAAGCTGCAGCTTTGCCTGGCCAGATGCATTCACTCGGAGCCAAAGTGACCTAAACCCACTGGTCTGACTCGGCCTCTGGCAGCTCCAGCTCCTCCACGCAATCCTAAGCCAATTTCAGCCATCCAAAGCCACAGTAATGCGTTTGAAGCCCACGGCTGGTCTTAGGCAGCTTGAAAGCCGGACCGTGCACCTTGCAAGAACAAAAAACGCGCATTGCCATTCGTTGCGCAGGTTTGTCAAATTGTGGCTACAAGATAGCCGCTGTAGCAATCCGTTGTGGTTCGCAATATGTGATTGGGGCTTTGTCAAAACACAACTTTTCGGGTATGCCCGCCAAACCCATACGAATCTTACGGGCCTCGCCATGCATTTTGCAAATTATTCCCAGCTTCTCAAGTCACAGTTCACGTGGGCTATGGTTTTGTCGGGGATCCCAGGAATACACCTGCAGAGGGTACCTCCGACCTCCAGAACCTGTGGAGCAGCCGGCGCCTCTGTCAAAACCCTCCGGGGTGAAGGCTCTCAAGCGTCGGCTGAGATTCAAATGGGTTGTCCATCAAGCTGAAGCCGTAGTTCTGCAGCAACGTGGCATTGTCTGCGTTGCCTTTGTACAAGTGGAAGACCTGGCACGAAGCTTCACAATTGATGCTCGCACTGCTGCAAGCAGGACGGTCCTATGTGCCTGAAATGCCGCCCCATTGTGACTTGCTTCTTGGAGTGCCAAAAATCCTGAGGTTGGTGTATGTTATCCTTCTTCCTTTCTTTCTTTCTTTCTTTCTTGCGTTCATTCATTCATTCACTCACTCACTCAGTCATGCCTTCATTAATTCATTCATTCATGAATGCTCATGCATTCATGCATTCATGCATTCATGCATTCATGCATTCATGCATTCATGCATTCATGCATTCATGCATTCATGCATTCATGCATTCATGCATTCATGCATTCATGCATTCATGCATGTATGCATTCCTTCCTTCCTTCCTTCATTCATTCATTCATTTCATTTCATTTCATTTCATTTCATTTAATTCCGTTCATTCAGTTCATTCGTTCATTCCGTTCATTTCATTTCATTCCGTTCATTCATTCGCTCATTCATTCATTCATTCATTCATTCATTCATTCATTCATTCATTCAGTTCATTTCATTTCATTTCATTTCATTTCATTTCATTCCGTTCATTCAGTTCATTCGTTCATTCCGTTCATTTCATTTCATTCCGTTCATTCATTCCGTTCATTCCGTTCATTAATTCATTCATTCATTCATTCATTCATTCATTCATTCATTCATTCATTCATTCATTCATTCATTCATTCATTCATGTCATTAATCTTTCTTTCTTTCTTTCTTTCTTTCTTTCTTTCTTTCTTTCTCTCTCTCTCTCTCTCCCCACGCCGTTGGACTATGCTGGTGTCCTCAACTTGGGGCTCAAAGGCATTTCCTTTGCCGGGCGTAGCGCTCTCAAGGCCGCTCCGGCCTCCTCGCCGGCCTCATAGGAGCCCGTGTCTGGAAGCCAAAGGCCTGGCTTTCGTCGGACCGCCAGCACTGGACACCTTTGGCTTCTGGAAAAACAAAAACGTCGCACTCCAATCCGAAACCCAACCTTCCGGCAAGAGCACGTGGACAAGGAAAGGGGTGTTTTTAAGCTGAGAGAGGGGTCGAAAAATGGGATGGGCGAGCCATGGGCGAGAATGCCAAGCCCGAGCGAGCGCTTTGGATTCACTGCGCCCTGTCAAGCTGGTCACATGACCCTGCCTGCAAAGTCGATGTCGTAGCGAGCCTGCCAGTTGTAGGGAACCCCAAGTAATGCGGCTGTCCCTTTCCCTTGAAAACCACCCCAGAAAAGGCACCCACACGTGCACACACGCACTCTGGACAACTTTGCCTTGGTTTTCACCCTGGTTGTCTATCAAAGAGGTAACTGGAAGTGTTGGAGCAAATGCGCCAAGCATGCGGCGCCACATGGGCAAGCGCTAGCCCATCATTCAGGGCTTCTCGGCTCCAAAAAACTCGACAAACATGATTTGTAAGGGAAACCACTTGTGGGTTTAAAGAGGACGCCTCACAGGAACCCTCGGGAATCCTCAACCTTCCCAACACACCCCGAAGAGTTGTGGCGCCTCAACCTCCGCGTGCGCGGAGTGGTTCATGGAATCCAGCAGTGGGCACATTGCCGCAGAGCCCCAGGAATCAGACCTGAACTTGGGGAGTGCTGCATTGAGGATTCCTCGTCCCAGGCGAACACCTTGAGGCTTCAGGGGGCACTCGAGGAAGCTTCCGCGCCAAAGCTTGTTTCAATAAAGAGCGTCAGCTCCCCGTGGGAAGAATAGAACCTTCATCGCTTGTCGGGCCGTGAGGTCTTCTGCACGCCTCTTTTGTTTGTTTCGGTCTAGACTCTAAATGGGCACCAGAAAACGGCGGTCCACTGATGTGGGAGCCAAAGCCCCCCCCCCACCCCCAGCAGAGGAACCTGCCCAGCAATACTTGGAAGCTTTCTGGGAGAAGTCTTGACGTCTCTGATTCAAAAACGCTTGGTTGCGCAGACATACGCAGACTTTGTCTACATTAGGGCAGCCCCATACCAGAACAGATCAAACAACTGGCTACACCTGCTGCATGACAGAGGGGTCGAGGAGTTGCTCGAACCTTCCCACTGATAGACGGATGATCCAGTGCTTGCACCTGTTGCTCTCCGTGGTTGAAATGGGAGTGCCGTTTCTGGTCTCTTTCAAACGTGAAGGATTCCTGATTGAATGAGACATTCCCTATCAACTGTGGCTTTGACAAGCCTTTCACATAAAGCCTGGATGGGATGCTTAGGCCTGCGGGTTCTTGGATTCCCATCCTACTTGCACATCATCCCTGTTCTCCCTTACGAATCCGCAACCCGGGCGAAGCGAATGAACAAAACACATTCAAATGGCATTATCTAACTTGAAAGCAAAACTAGGATCAACTAGGTCGAACATGTTAACCGCTTTCCACTCGTGGAAGTTGGACAGGTGGATTTTGGTTCTTCGATGCCCCTCGTCCACTTCCGTGTTGTAGCCCAGCCTTTGACCCTGGTGGCGCCAAGGGACGGGTGCTGAACTGGGGTCTACCCACGACAAGTGAACACGAGCGCAAAGCCGAGCCCCGACATGAAAGCCGGCGCCAAATGAAAAACTCCCCCCTAAGAAACCAAAGGACGCCAAGGGACACCAAGGGTGGACACGTCAGGGGGCATCAAATGACGATCGGTTGCTCCAAAGGAAGGGTCGGCCTGGGGAAGGCCGCTTGGTCGAAGCTCCGGGAGAGGTAGCAGCCTCGGGCCCAAAGCCACTGCTCCCAGCTCACCGCCTGGGGAATGTGCCCGGCGAGTCAAGGGGTTCGTTGGCTGGTGTGCTGGTTGCTTGGTGTGCTGGTTGCTTAATTGGTTGGTTGGTTGGTTGGTTGGTTGGTTGGTTGGTTGGTTGGTTGGTTGGTTGGTTGGTTGGTTGGTTGGTTGGTTGGTTGGTTGGTTGGTTGGTTGGTTGCTTATTTGGTTGGTTGCTTATTTGGTTGGTTGGTTGGTTGGTTGGTTGGTTGGTTGGTTGGTTGGTTGGTTGGTTGGTTGGTTGGTTGGTTGGTTGCTTATTTGGTTGCTTGGTTGCTTATTTGGTTGCCTGCTTGCTTGGTTGGTTGCGGAGATTTTCTGTTTGGCCATGACTGACTGGGGCAACCGCTTGCCCAACTCTATCGGCAGGAGACCATTGGTCCATGAAAGAAAGCAGGACGCTCCCTGTGTGTCAGAAGGGCAAAGCATCGGTGAAGGTGGTCATTGCCAGAATGTAAGTAAGCGACCCTGGGAAACCCTGACATGTAGGTCAATGTGGTCCTTTGCAGTCATTGCCCAACAATGCGTCCTGTTGTTCGCGTGAGTCGATCTGGCGGCAACACACATGAACTTGCCCAAAAATCCTGTCAGTGTTGTAGAAAACATTCATCTACTACTAGCAACATGAGCATCTAGTTGCCGGTTCGAGCATCTGAGTATTGCCCGCAAAGCAAAATGCAAGCTCTTGGTCTTAAGTCTTAACTTATGCCCAGGTGCGGTTAAACACTCTTCCTTGGTGGTATGTGCCAGCATGGTTCGCCAAAACAACAAAGCAAGCTTCCACTTGTGGCAACAAGTGAAAAATCGTTTAATTTGGGCGAATCAGTCTCTGGTTTGCCCGTTGCCATGGAATGTGCCGCCAAAGGAAAAGTCGAGGACCTGATGCCGCAATCACCTGGTTGTGCACCAACTTTTCTGCAGCTTCACTCAGGAGACGCTTTGGGGCTTTAACATTCTTGTGGCGTCTGTGTGCCCTTAGGTTCCTGATGGGCAAATGCTAGACTCGCTACTGGAGCCATGTTTCCCATTGTGCAAACGGAATGCCGTTTGTTCCGGGTGCTAGTCTTAGAAACACCCATGTACCCATGCCGAGTCTCGCAAGTCAACTCATACGCAAGGCTCAATGTGAGCCATCTTCAGGCTCAGGCTGACTGGTTAAACTTGGATTGCAACTCAAAAGGCGAATCACATTTTGGACGGGGCCGAAGTTGTGCACCTTTACCTGGGGAGACAATGTGCTCTGATCAGGCCGCAGGAACTGAATTTACTGCCCTCAGTCCAATGCAACCATGCCCATTGCCGCCACAAGTCCAAGGTTCTCGGTAGATGGCACAATTGCCTTTAAACATGGGTAAAGGGAATTCCGAAACCAAGGGTACCGTGCCATCCACTTCCATTCCCCCAATCATCTCACAGGCTCGACAACCCCCACCTTGCCTGGTCCCCCAGCAGCCGCGAGACCTCTTCGTGCCGGCGCCGCTGCTCCGCCAAGACCTGCGGACTGTGCGTTTTCCCCGCGCTAGAATGGCGCTAGCTCGGAGCTAGCATTTTGCTAAGGAATGCGAACCAGTGTGTAGAGATGTCATGGTTAGGTGCTGCCGCTCTTGGTCAGAGCCATGTTTGATCCCAAAGGCTGTTCGGTGGCGGCGATTTCGTGCTGGCCGCGCGCGCTAGCAAACGTCGCCCGGCCGGGCCACCGGTTGTGCATGGACGCTGCAATCCGCATGGCTGCATTGATCGAAACCGTAGACGGGGAAGGCGCGTCAAACAAAGACAGTCATAGCAGGAGAAGCAGCAGCAATAGCGGCCAAAGGCGGAAGGACACACGGAGCTCCGGAGCAGCCCGAGCAGAGCAGCCCACAAAACACGCGCGATGAACCTGCTACCTTCCATGAGCTTGGGGTACAGCGCGCTAGCACCTTTCCATGTGAAGTGCACGCTGTGAAGGTCGTTGCACTTCGCGCCGAATGGTAAGGAGACTTTTCCACACAGACCACCTCAGTGAAGGCCCCCGAGTATGGCCAAAGCGTTGCTTCTAACATGAATCAATGCATGTCGTACATGTGCATCAACCCCCATTCCCAATTCTCCAACTGAATTTGGTAACGAATTGTGTAGAGCATCAGGGTTGAGCAAACGTTATTAACCAAATCCTGCTACTGAAAGGCCAAGAGCAGCTGGCTTGAGCAGTTCTGTTTCAACATGAGGCAAGGGGATCACCTTCAACCCCGTTCACGGAAACGCCGGCCAATCCGAGAATCAGAGAACCCCTTTTCTCGCACCTCCTTGGCATCTATGGGTGTCCCTGCCAGCCAGCGCTGGGCGCATGGGTCCCACAGCCAGCGCCTCGACAGGAAAGCCGCCCAGCGCCTCTTTCTTGAGGGTATTTCTCCTTTTTAGAGTGGTCCGACCAACGGCACGGAACCCAACTGGAAGTTGGGATCTCTCTAGAAGGACCTTCTGCTGGCCCTCGGCGATTGGTTCCGAATGCGAAATCATGTCTTGGAGAGGCCTCCTGATTTGAAACCCAAGCGCTCCTGCGTGGCTTGTCTCAGGCCCATCACGGCAATGGCACAACAGATTCCTGATTCCTGCCCTCCTTTTTATCATTTGACATGCTGGGCCCAGGATCATTACAAGCTACTGTGCGCTAGGAGCCCCATTGTTGTTTGCCTTTAGAGGGGCAGCCAAACATAATCCTGCCCACTATCACTATTATGATCCGCCATCTTCGAACATACTCTTGAACTGCTGCCCCTTTTTAAAGTAGTAGTGACAAAACTACTCGCTCATTTCATGAAATAGACCCTACTACAGAAATAATTCAAAAGTAGAAGCGCCCCTTTTTTCAGAGTAGTATTGCCCACCTTCCTGGAATTTGGCTGCGCTACAAAACCAGCTGAAAACATGTATTGCCAGGCTGCCGGGAACCTGCCGTAGTACTAAACAAATCAAAAGTAGTATTCAACCTGATTCAGCACTGCCACGGCCAAGGCACAGCGGGTCTTGGGCAGGCAGAAGCTGCAAGTAGGGATGCCACTCATACTGTGGGTCCTGTGCTTCCAGAGGAGCATGCAACGGCGCTCGGCCACACGTGAGCCCCGCATACCGAAGCCGGACTGCGCGCAACACGAACCCCAGGACAAGTCTTGTCAACCAGCATCAACCCTTCACCAACGAGAATGTGCCGAATGAGTCCCGAAACCAGCCATAAGCCAATCCTGACCCTAAACAAACCGAAAAACAATCCCAAGCCAAAGTTGATCAACCTACCCTCCAAGCCAAGCCCAACCCACCCTAAACAAACCCTAGAACCAAGGCTCACTTTGATTTTACCCCAAATCCACTCTTAGCCAACCCAAAGTCCAACTTAGCTCCTTCTAAACCAACCCCACGCCAAAACCACCTGCCCGGGTCCATTTGCGTCTTTCGCTGCGCTCCTCACGGCCCCAAATCATGTAGAGCCAGAGGAACCTCGGAAGGGTCATGAGTCTGAAATTCGGGGAGTATGGACTCTGGCAGCTGAAAAAGGTCGACAACTCGGAACGACACACTTATGCCATACAAAGGCTTCCGCATATGCCATGTCCATGTGCTCCTGTGATTCAAGCATCCCCGGGCAACAGGGAACCCCTCTACCAAAAGAAATGATGTGTGAGTCACCATCATACGAAAAGAGACATCTAAGAACCCCACGCGGAAGGCGCAGAGTGCAAAAACACCAGAGCCTCAAACAAAGGGGCCCCAACACAAGAGCCTCTAAAAGTTTGCCTGTTGCCATCAGCACGCCCAACCCTGAACATTGGGGCTGACAGAGGGTCACCCTGGGCACCAACCCTGGACATTTGGGCACTCAACCCTGAACATTGGGGGCACCATTACTAACATGCGTAATGGTAGATTTTCCCTGTTCACTGGACATGAATGAAGCAGCAACCCCCCCAGAAGGATCATGAAACAGGTCGCTGGAGCCGGCCAATACAGCTGCCATAATGTGAAGTTGCTCTCTGCTACAAATGGAGCATGACATGACCACAACATCTGCACCACCACATCCCCAAAGCCTTTGGCGCCCACAAGCAACGGCAACCACGACCACCGCAATTTCAAGCACAATCCCTGCCCCCGCCGCCGCCGCCGCCGCCAACAACAACAACAACAACAACAACAGCAGCAGCAGCAGCAGCAACAACAACAACCACAACCACAACCACAACCACAACAACAACAGCAGCAGCAACAACACCAACAACAACAACCACAACCACAACCACAACCACAACAACAACGGCAGCAGCAGCAGCAGCAAGAACAAGAACAAGAACAAGAACAAGAACAAGAACAAGAACAAGAACAAGAAGAACAAGAAGAACAACAAGAACAAGAAGAAGAACAAGAACAAGAAGAAGAAGAATAACAAGAATAACAAGAAGAAGAACAACAAGAAGAACAAGAAGAACAAGAAGAACAAGAATAACAAGAAGAACAAGAAGAACAGAAGGAAGAAGAAGAAGAACAATAACATGAACATGAACAAGAACAAGAACAAGAACCAGAACAAGAACAAGAACAAGAACAAGAACAAGAACAAGAACAAGAACAAGAACAACAACAAGAACAACAAGAACAACAAGAACAACAACAAGAACAACAACAACAACAACAACAACAACAACAACAACAACAACAACAACAACAACAACAACAACAACAACAACAACAACAACAACAACAACAACAACAACAACAACAACAACAACAACAACAACAACAACAACAACAACAACAACAACAACAACAACAACAACAACAACAACAACAACAACAACAACAACAACAACAACAACAACAACAACAACAACAACAACAATAACGACAACAAAAGCAACCAACAACAACAACCAACAACAACAACAACAATGCTGTCGCCACCACCGCCGCCGTCAACACT